CTTATTAAAGTGAGGATAATGCTAGTATTCACTGTCACGCAGGACAGAGGGTCAAGAGGAAGAGCAACCTAGACCCCGTAAGCCTTGACAACCTTCCTGACCAACATGCTCATGTTGGCATAATACTGGGACACAACATGAACAGAACAGGATTCAAAATTCACGTCAAAAACAAAGTTAACTAAGCCAAAAACAACCCTAGTAAAACTGTGGAGATTCCGTAGCTTCAGCACCAAGTGACTCTTATACAAGGCTCTGTAATCCGCCTGTGTCTCCAATAGAGCAGCAGTCTCTCGTCCTCCCATATAATCAGCAGAGGTTTGATCTATTTATAAGTCTTCGAGATGTGTTATTTCTTGAGGCAAGATAACGTAAGCTTTTAAGGATTGACAAATCTTCTTGTTTGAGGAGCTGTTCACTTGAGACAGTTAAGCAAGTCCCAGCTGTGACTGGGTACAAGTGACAGGATGAACAACCCAGCGGGTTTTCTTCCTATTGGGGAGTGTTGTACATGCTTCTATGGCGGTGTGTCCACTCACAAGATGAGTGGCGCTGCCCAATACTGTCACTATGGCGGTGTGTCCACTTACAGGATAAGTGACGCTGCCCAATACTGTCACTATGGCGGTGTGTCCACTCACAAGATGAGTGGCGCTGCCCAATACTGTCACTATGGCGGTGTGTCCACTCACAGGATGAGTGACGCTGCCCAATACTGTCACTATGGCGGTGTGTCCACTCACAAGATGAGTGGCGCTGCCCAATACTGTCACTATGGCGGTGTGTCCACTCACAAGATGAGTGGCGCTGCCCAATACTGTCACTATGGCGGTGTGTCCACTCGCAGGATGAGTGACGCTGCCCAATACTGTACTGTCACTATGGCGGTGTGTTCACTCACAAAATGAGTGGCGCTGCCCAATACTGTCACTATGGCGGTGTGTCCACTCACAAGATGAGTGACGCTGCCCAATACTGTCACTATGGCGGTGAGTCCACTCACAGGATGAGTGACGCTGCCCAATACTGTCACTATGGCGGTGTGTCCACTCACAGGATGAGTGGCGCTGCCCAATACTGTCACTATGGCGGTGTGTTCACTCACAGGATGAGTGACGCTGCCCAATACTGTCACTATGGCGGTGTGTCCACTCACAGGATGAGTGGCGCTGCCCAATACTGTCACTATGGCGGTGTGTCCACTCACAGCATGAGTGACGCTGCCCAATACTGTCACTATGGCGGTGTGTTCACTCACAGGATGAGTGACGCTGCCCAATACTGTCACTATGGCGGTGTGTCCACTCACAGGATGAGTGGCGCTGCCCAATACTGTCACTATGGCGGTGTGTCCACTCACAGGATGAGTGACGCTGCCCAATACTGTCACTATGGCGGTGTGTCCACTCACAGGATGAGTGACGCTGCCCAATAAACGCGCCCCTCGGGGCAAAATTAAAAATTATGCATGACTTCATCAGTGACTTCATCAGTGTCACATGAATAATAGATGTTTCTTTCTCCCATTCTTACAGACATCAACTCACGCGCTCGCTCAAGCGCGCGGAGATCTTCCAGAAACACAGTTATCGGTCTTGCCACTTTGAACTGTTTCTTGGTCTTTGTGTAGTTAGTGTAAAACTCACTGCATTTCTTGACAATGTCACCACTTTGACTGGACGGTAGAGCGACAGTCTCCTTTTATGCAGGTCCGTGTTCAATCCCCCCGACCGTCCAAGTGGTTGGGGACCATTCCTTCCCCCCCTCCCTGTCCTGTCCCATCCCAAATCCTTATCCTGACCTCTTACAAGTGATATATAGTAGTAGTGGCTTAGCACTTATCCCTGATAATACCCTCCCACTTGATAATGTCATTGTAGCGGGGTCTCCGACAATCTTACTAGAAATAGTGGCCTTCAGTTCCTTGATCGTGTTTATAATGCTAAAGAAACAGTTCTTGTCGTAGATTCGATGTTTCAGTTGTTTGTGGTAATTCAAGAATTATTCTCCTTAACTGTAGCCTCTGTTTAACTCAACAGTAAAATGTGTACTTGGTTTGTAACAACGATTCTTGCGAGCGGACAGCACGCTGGACCTGTGATCCTGTGGTCCTGAGTTCGATCCCAGGCGCTGGCGAGAAACAATGGGCAGAGTTTCTTTCACCCTATGCCCCTGTTACCTAGCAGTAAAATAGGTACCTGGGTGTTAGTCAGCTGTCACGGGCTGCTTCCTGGGGGGTGGAGGCCTGGTTGAGGACCGGGCCGCGGGGACACTAAAAAAAAAAGCCCCGAAATCATCTCAAGATAACCTCAAGATGGTGTTCAGACACTGACGCTTTAGTAAACAACACTCCTACACCTTATAGGGATATTCCACGATGGGACTCCTGGGTCCTTGTCGTGGTGCTGAGAAAAAATGTTGGGCTCGGCTCCTGTACCCAGTGGCGGGTACAGGAGCCGCCGCGTCTGTGTCTCCTGCGGTTCCCCCTCTTTCGTTACCACGGTCTGGGGGGGGGGGGAGCCTTGTCCCGGCTACCGGGGTCGTGACCTGTGAAGGTCCGGTGTTGGGTCCTTATCGGGATGCCCGGGTGATTCCGCTCCCGTGGTGCTCTTCCACTATCTGGGTGCCGCGGGTGAAGGAGTTTGTTTACGGGGTGCCGGATAAGATGTCTCAGCCAAAAGCGCCGCCTGGTGGCCGGGTGTCCCCTGACACGTTGATGATTTGGGAAGCGTACTGCTTGCGCTTTCCAATATACCAGTTCCCAGAAAATATTAGTAGACGTCTTGCCCATAACGCGACGCCATGGATCAGCTGACGCCATGAACTCGTCGTCCCGCCCGCCGGGACGACGTTCTCGTCGATGGGGCGGCGAGCCTCCCTCTACCATCTACCTCTGTTTTAGTCGCCGCTCCTCTATCTACGTCACGACGCAACCAGCACTTTTGACATTCTTATCCTCCTCAACACATCTCCCAACATCCATCCTGGTCCGTGGTGGGCTCCAGGTGTGCCCTCAGCCGTGGTGGGCTCCTGGTGTGTCCAATTTTGCCGTGGTGGGCTCCATTCAGTGGTCCGGTTTGTACGACGCCTGGGGTCAGCCGTGGTCACGACTCCAGGGGTGTCACATATCGCCTGGGGTCACATATCACCTGGGGTCACATATCGCCTGGGGTCACGACGCCTGGGGTCACATATCGCCTGGGGTCACATATCGCCTGGGGTCACATATCGCCTGGGGTCACATATCGCCTGGGGTCCTCAGCCGTGGTGGGCTCCAGCGATGTGTCCTCAGCCGTGGTGGGCTCCTGGTGTCCGGCCCGGCAGGCCGTGGTGGGCTCCTGGTGTGCCCTCAGCCGTGGTGGGCTCCTGGTGTGTCCTCAGCCGTGGTGGGCTCCAGGTGTGCCCTCAGCCGTGGTGGGCTCCAGGTGTGCCCTCAGCCGTGGTGGGCTCCAGGTGTGCCCTCAGCCGTGGTGGGCTCCAGGTGTGCCCTCAGCCGTGGTGGGCTCCAGGTGTGCCCTCAGCCGTGGTGGGCTCCAGGTGTGCCCTCAGCCGTGGTGGGCTCCAGGTGTGCCCTCAGCCGTGGTGGGCTCCAGGTGTGCCCTCAGCCGTGGTGGGCTCCAGGTGTGCCCTCAGCCGTGGTGGGCTCCAGGTGTGCCCTCAGCCGTGGTGGGCTCCAGGTGTGCCCTCAGCCGTGGTGGGCTCCAGGTGTGCCCTCAGCCGTGGTGGGCTCCAGGTGTGCCCTCAGCCGTGGTGGGCTCCAGGTGTGCCCTCAGCCGTGGTGGGCGGCTGGCATTTGCTCTGTCGGAGGGCACCTGATGACTTTTGCGTTCTAGTTGGGGTCGAGTTTTTGGTTTTGCTCCCCTGGTGTTCTCAGTGTGGGGTGTTTACACCATATAAGTGTGTATAAAAAGCAAGACACTCTATTTGAAGTGATACAAGTGTGTGTCTTGCCATAAAGTGTGAGAGGAGAGTGCGGACACACCGACGCCACAACACCGACGCCACAACACCGACGCCACAACACCGACGCCACAGCACCGACGCCACACAGTAAAAGCATAGTAGCAATTTTACAACCCTGGACCTTTGGCTAGTGGTGCAAATTACAAATGAAACTGATTTAAGTGTTCACACACTGTTTGAAAGGAAAGGTGCATGAAAGATAAGTTGTTAGTGGGGTGTGAGCCACGGCAGACGCCTTACGCCTGACGCCTGACACCTGACGCCTGACACCTGACGCCTGACACCTGACGTCTGACGCCTGACACCTGACGCCTGATGCTTGACACCTGACGCCTGGCATCTGACGTCTGACGCCTGACGCCTGACACCTGACGCCAGACACTTGACGCCTGACGCCTGACACCTGACGCCTGACGCCATTACAACACCACTTCAACACTGTACTGAACACCACTACACACTCTGGTCCAACAAGAGGGTTAAGTCTCACCACAATAAGACTGAGCTCGGTACCTGTATTTTACCAAAATAAGGGAGGTTGGTGGTGTGGTAACACTGGAGATGGGATCCAATATCTTTGTGCCACTCACCCCATTAATTGCAGGTGTGCCACTCACCCCATTAATTGCAGGTGTGCCACTAACCCCATTAATTGCAGGTGTGCCACTAACCCCATTAATTGCAGGTGTGCCACTAACCCCATTAATTGCAGGTGTGCCACTAACCCCATTAATTGCAGGTGCGGTTACACCATGAGCTTACGAGCCCACCTCAATAAGTAAATTACCTGCAACTAAAATAAAAATATTCTAACTAGGTTAATCAATTTTTAAATTGTTTTTGATATATAACAATTGCTTTAAGACAAATTAAAGTATACAAATGTAATAGATAAATTAATATTAATAAAGAATTAAATAATCTTGTCATTATTTGTAATATAATACATATGTGGCCCAAGATACCAGATCAAAAGGATAGACTTAAGTAATTGGTCACCGTCTCAGTGGTGCTGCATTACACATATTGTTATGTTGTTACCAAGTGGTAATGTGGCGTTTTTCCTCCAACAGGTAAATGACAGCACCACGAGTCCTGCTGCAGCCTCCTTCAGACGGAGCCGCTTGGGCAACACACACACAACAGATACACTCCACCATGAAGGAAGCAACAGTGTCCCAGTGACCACTGGATAGTGACCACTGGATAGTGACCACTGGATGGTGACCACTGGATAGTGACCACTGGATAGTGACCACTGGATAGTGACCACTGGATGGTGACCACTGGATGGTGACCACTGGATAGTGACCACTGGATAGTGACCACTGGATGGTGACCACTGGATGCTGATCACTGGATAGTGACCACTGGATAGTGACCACTGGATAGTGACCACTGGATAGTGACCACTGGATAGTGACCACTGGATGGTGACCACTGGATGCTGACCACTGGATAGTGACCACTGGATATGAGTTGTCTGTTATGTTAGTTGTTAGATATATACTTTAGGGAGTCAGAGTTAAAAATCCCACATTTAGTTCCTTGAGTCTGTCTTCGTACCGTATCCCTTGCAGCTTTGGGACGAGTCTCGTTGCAAACTTCTGCAACTTCTCGAGCTTTCTTATTTGTTTTTTTTTTTAAGATGGGGCTCCATGTTGGGGCGGCATACTCTAAGACTGGCCTCACATAGGCGGTATACAGTGATCTAAAAGCCTCCTTATTCAAGTTTCTGAAGGATGTTCTGACTTTTGCCAGAGTAGAGTATGCGGCTGACGTTATTCTGTTTATATGAATTTCTGGAGTTAGGTTTGGTGTTATGTAAACTCTCAGGTCATCTTCTCAAGACGTTACAGGGAGGTAGTTCTCTTTCATCGTATATTGGTCTTTCGGTCTCTTCGGGTCCTGTTCCCATTTCCATCACCTTGCACTTGTTAGTGTTGACCTCTAGCAGCCATTTCTCGAACCATCTCTGCAACCTGTTCAAGTCATTCTGGAGAATCTTACAATCCTCTGTAAGATACGTGGTCTGTAGTTAAGTGCCTCTTCTCTGTCTCCTTTCTTGTAGATTGACACCACATTTGCCTTCTTTTAGCAGCTGGGCAATTCCCCCTGTGTGACTCATTATAGATTAGTGGATTAGTGCTAGAGGTGTGTGTGTTTGTATGTGTGTGTGTGTGTGTGTGTGTGTGTGTGTGTGTGTGTGTGTGTGTGTGTGTGTCTGTGTGTGTACTCACCTAGTTGCACTCACCTGGTTGTGCTTGCGGGGGTTGAGCTCTGGCTCTTTGGTCCCGCCTCTCAACTGTCAGTCAACTGGTGTACAGGTTCCTGAGCCTACTGGGCTATATCATATCTACATTTAAAACTGTGTATGGAGTCAGCCTCCATCACATCACTGCCTAGTGCATTCCATCCGTTAACTACTCTGATACTGAAAAAGTTCTTTCTAACGTCTCTGTGGCTCATGTGGGTACTCAGTTTCCACCTGCGTCCCCTTGTTCTCGTACCACCCTTGTTAAACAGTTTATCCTTATCTACCCTGTCAATTACTGATAATTTTGTAGGTAATGATCATGTCTCCCCTTTCTATTCTGTCTTCCTGTGTCGTAAGGTGCATTTCACGCAGCCTGTTCTCGTAACTCATGCCTCTTACGTCTGGGACTAGCCTAGTGCCATACTTCTGAACTTTTTCAAGCTTCGTCAACTCCTAGATCTTTCTCTCTGTCCGTTTCATGAAGGACTTCATCTCCTATGCTGTATCCTGTGTCTGGCCTCCTGTTTCCACCACCTAATTTCATTATCTTACATTTACTCGGGTTGAACTTTAGTGGCCATTTGTTGGACCATTCATTCAGTCTGTCTAGGTCATCTTGTAGCCTCCTACTGTCATCCTCTGTTTTAATCCTCTTCATAATTTTTGCATCATCAGCAAACATTGAGAGGAACGATTCTATACCCTCAGGGAGATCATTTACATATATCAGAAACAGTATAGGTCCAAGGACTGACCCCTGCGGTACTCCACTTGTGATATCTCCCCAATCTGAGACCTCACTCCTCACAGTGACTCGTTGTCTTCTATTGCTTAGGTACTCCCTTATCCAATGGAGTACTTTCCCTTTCACTCCTGCCTGCATCTCCAGCTTTTGCACTAGCCTCTTGTGTGGCACTGTGTCAAAGGCTTTCTGGCAATCCAAAAATATGCAGCCTGCCCACCCTTCTCTTTCCTGCCAGATTTTTGTTGCCTGGTCGTAGAATTCAATTAATCCTGTGAGGCAGGACTTGCCATCCCTGAACCCATGTTGATGCTGTGTTACAAAGTTCTTTTGCTCCAGATGTTCCACTAGCTTTTTTCGCACAATCTTCTCCATCAGCTTGCATGGTATGCAAGTTAGAGACACTGGCCTGTAGTTCAGTGCCTCCTGTCTTTCCCCCCTTCTTGTATATTGGGACTACATTAGCCATCTTCAAAATTTCTGGCAGTTCCCCTGTTACCAGTGATTTGTTATACACTATGGAGAGTGGCAGGCACAGTGCTTCTGCTCCTTCCTTTAACATCCAAGAGGAGATTCCATCTGGGCCTATAGCCTTTGTCACATCCAACTCTAGCAAAAGCTTCCTTACTTCCCCTCTGGTAATCTCAAACTCTTCCAGTGGTTCCTGGTTAACTATTCCCTCTCTTATCTCTGGAATTTCTCCTTGCTCTAATGTGAAGACCTGGAATTTCTTATTCAGTTCCTTCTGGAGGCTATCTTGAGATGATTTCGGGGGCTTAATGTCCCCGCGGCCCGGATCAGGGGTGAAAGAAACATTTTGCCCATTTGTCTCCACCTCCACCGGGGATCGAACCCGGAACCTCAGGACTACTAACCGAAGCGCTGTCGATCCAGCTGTCAGGCGCCCTGACAGTTGGGTCAGGCCGCCGGGTATAGGTCTGGATCAGGGCGCCCCTAGTTGTGTTTGCGGGGGTTGAGCTCTGCTCTTTCGGCCCGCCTCTCAACTGTCAATCAACTGTTTACTATTACTATTTTTTTTTTCTCTTCACACACCACACACACCCCAGGAAGCAGCCCGTGACAGCTGACTAACTCCCAGGTACCTATTTAATGCTTGGTAACAGGGGCATTCAAGGTGAAAGAAATTTTGCCCATTTGTTTCTGCTTGGTGCGGGAATCGAACCCGCGCCACAGAATTACGAGTTAATTTATGCCCGAAACGCTTTGCGTAATAATGGCTTTAGGCATTGTATACTAGCCCTATCTATAAATCCATCACTCTTTGTAAAATCTCTTGTATGTATGTACCTTACCTAAATAAACATTTGATTTGATTTGAGTTCTACGCGCTATGCACCAGGCCCCTGTGTGCGTGTGTACGAGCGCATGCGTGCGTGCGTTCGTGTGCATGTGCATTTACTATTTGTATTTACTATTGTATCTGCAGAATCGAGCTATTAGCTCTTGGACCCCGTCTTTCTAACCAATTTATTTATCCTATATTATGTCTGCCACGTATAGTTTTCTCTAACACACACACACACACACACACACACACACACACACACACACACACACACACACACACACACACACACACACACACACACACACACAGGTAGCAGCCCTGAAGGAAGCACACATTCCCAGGAAGCATTAGGTATAAATAATAAATTATGGTTCTTCATTTATGTTTAAAATCTAACCAGAGCGAGTGCCCATTTTATCCATTACCTGGTCTATTACATAGCGGTAATTAGTCCATTTGACCAATAGTCATGTACAAAGTGAACGGTCTGCCCCCATGCCTTTCCTGCTGGTGGAATGGCTTCATAATTTCCTTGTTGAGCTTCGTCCCTGGGGACTAGGGGAGGCCCTGAGGACTAGGGGGAGGCCCTGGGGACTAGGGGAAGGCCCTGGGGACTAGGGGAAGGCCCTGGGGACTAGGGGAAGGCCCTGGGGACTAGGGGAAGGCCCTGGGGACTAAGGAAGGCCCTGGGGACTAGGGGAAGGCCCTGGGGACTAGGGGAAGGCCCTGGGGACTAAGGAAGGCCCTGGGGACTAGGGAAGGCCCTGGGGACTAGGGGAGGCCCTGGGGACTAGGGGAGGCCCTGGGGACTAGGGGAGGCCCTGGGGACTAGGGGAGGCCCTGGGGACTAGGGGAGGCCCTGGGGACTAGGGGAGGCCCTGGGGACTAGGGGAGGTCCTGGGGACAAGGGGAGGTCCTGGGGACTAGGGGAGGCCCTGGGGACTAGGGAGGCCCTGGGGACTAGGGGGAGGCCCTGGGACTAGGGGAGGCCCTGGGGACTAGGGGAGGCCCTGGGACTAGGGGGAGGCCCTGGGGACTAGGGGGAGGCCCTGGGGACTAGGGGAGGCCCTGGGGACTAGGGGAGGCCCTGGGGACTAGGGGAGGCCCTGGGGACTAGGGGAGGCCCTGGGGACTAGGGGAGGCCCTGGGGACTAGGGGAGGTCTTGGGGACTAGGGGAGGCCCTGGGGACTAGTGGAGGCCCTGGGGACTAGGGGAGGCCCTGGGGACTAGGGGAGGCCCTGGGGACTAGGGGAGGCCCTGGGGACTAGTGGAGGCCCTGGGGACTAGGGGAGGCCCTGGGGACTAGGGGAGGCCCTGGGGACTAGGGGAGGCCCTGTAGACTAGTGGAGGCCCTGGGGACTAGGGGAGGCCCTGGGGACTAAAGGAGGCCCTCTGGAGTAGGCTCCAGGGATCTCTGGGGCGCCTATGAACCTGATGTCGAAGTTTTTGCCAGGTCTGAGGCGCCTCTAATTACCTTTTAAGGTGGTTGGGGGGTCCCAGGTCCCCAGTCAGGCCTTTTGTGGTACTGAGGTCCCAGCCAGGTATCCCATAGTGACCGTGAGGTCCCAGCCAGGTATCCCATAGTGACCCTGAGGTCCCAGTCAGGTATCCCATAGTGACCCTGAGGTCCCAGCCAGGTATCCCTAACTGAGACCCATCCCAGGTGTTGACAGGTTGCTGCAGGTGTTGGCAAGTTGTTGCAGGTGTTGACAAGTTGCTGCAGGTGTTGGCAAGTGGTTGCAGGTGCTGACAAGTTGTTGCAGGTGTTGACAAGTTGTTGCAGGTGTTGACAAGTTGTTGCAGGTGTTGACAAGTTGTTGCAGGTGTTGACAAGTTGTTGCAGGTGTTGACAAGTTGTTGCAGGTGTTGACAGGTTGTTGCAGGTGTTGACAAGTTGTTGCAGGTGTTGACAAGTGGTTGCAGGTGTTGACAAGTGGTTGCAGGTGTTCACAAGTGGTCGCAGGTGTTGACAAGTTGTTGCAGGTGTTGACAGGTTGCTGCAGGTGTTGACAAGTGGCTGCAGGTGTTGACAAGTGGCTGCAGGTGTTGACAAGTGGCTGCAGGTGTTGACAAGTGGTTGCAGGTGTTGACAAGTGGTTGCAGGTGTTGACAAGTGTTGCCACACCTGTCCATGTGGCCAGGCGGAAATATTGGGGGGCTGTAGAGAGGGCTCGAACTCGCGTCCCTGGACTCCCAGACTCACTTGTAGAGTCTCTTGTAGAGTCTCTTGTAGAGTCTCTTGTAGAGTCTCTTGTCGAGTCTCTTGTAGAGCCTCTTGTAGAGCCTCTTGTAGAGTCTCTTGTAGAGCTCTTGTAGAGCTCTTGTAGAGTCTCTTGTAGAGTCTCTTGTAGAGCTCTTGTAGAGTCTCTTGTAGAGTCTCTTGTAGAGTCTCTTGTAGAGTCTCTTGTAGAGTCTCTTGTAGAGTCTTGTAGAGTCTCTTGTAGAGTCTAAGCCTTAGTCTGGTAGTAGTCTCTGGAACAAAAAGCAAAGTAGTTAGTCTTGTAGAGACCTCTTGTAGACCTGTACCTGTCTCTGGGCAGCGCCACTTGTAGAGTCTTCTTCCCTACCTGACTCATCCCCTCGCCTCTCACTCGCCCCTCACTCGTCTCTCACTCGCCCCTCACTCGTCTCTCACTCGCCCCTCTCTCTGGCTTGTTTTGTTTAATTTGAATTACATGCTCCATACATGCTCCACACATGCTCCATACATGATCAATTCACCCTCCATACATGCTCCATACATGCTGCAGGTGCATGTTTGGTCTTAAACTTAGCTGACTTCTACTGTGAGGTCGTGGTAATTTACCACACTGAGGCGCGGATGTTATTTCCGTATACTGTATATTTGTGTTTAATATATGTGTGTGTGTGTGTGTGTGTGTGTGTGTGTGTGTGTGTGTGTGTGTGTGTGTGTGTGTGTGTGTGTGTGTGTGTTGTACATCCTTGTGCTTCAGAGCGCAGCAAGGGAAGCACCGTCCCAGCGCGGGGGATAGATCACGCAGTCTCTAACCAGTGGTTAGATTATCGGTGAATAGCGGAGGCTTGGGGATGCCACTATCCCCCCCCCCCTATCCCCGATCCACCCTGACCTCTGGGACGCTGTTAGGGGTCATTCCCGGTGACCTATCCCCGGTGGTATGAGGTCAGCTGTGCTGGTTCTCAAGTTTTTTTTTTTTATTTTGGTTCGAGAGGCGAGTTTATTGGGCAGCGTCACTCATCCTGTGAGTGGACACACCGCCATAGTGACAGTATTGGGCAGCGCCACTCATCCTGTGAGTGGACACACCGCCATAGTGACAGTATTGGGCAGCGCCACTCATCCTGTGAGTGGACACACCGCCATAGTGACAGTTTGAGGCAGCAGGTAGGGTGGGAGGCAGCAGGTAGGGTGGGAGGCAGCAGGTAGGGAGGGAAGCAGCAGGAAGGGTGGGAGGCAGCAGGTAGGGTTTGAGGCAGAAGGTAGGGAAGGAGGCAGCAGGTAGGGTGGGAGGCAGCAGGTAGAGAGGGAGGCAGAAGGTAGGGTGGGAGGGAGGCAGCAGGTAGGGAGGGAGGGAGGCAGCAGGTAGGGAGGGAGGCAGAAGGTAGGGTGGGAGGTAGCAGGTAGGGTGGGAGGCAGCAGGTAGGGTGGGAGGCAGCAGGTAGGGTGGGAGGTAGCAGGTAGGGTGGGAGGCAGCAGGTAGGGTGGGAGGCAGCAGGTAGGGAGGGAGGGAGGCAGCAGGCACATGTGCGGTAGAGGAGGGCGAGGAGAGGACAGGTGTGGGAGACACCTGCACAGACACAGGTGAGACTCACAGCTAATTACCTCAGCACCTATCACACTCCAACCCCTTCTTCCCCCCCCCCCCCTCCTCCCCTCTCTCTCTCCCTCTCACTCTTTCTCTACGAATCTACCTATGTTCTGTTCCCCCTATGCCTCCCCCTCCCTCTCTGACACAGTCAACATATTCAAAATAGGCATTTTCTCAAAATTATATATATATATATATATATATATTATATATATATATATATATATATATATATATATATATATATATATATATATATATATTATAGGCAGGCAGGTTTTTATTTGCTGTGCCCAATGCAGCCCTGGGAACTCGCCTCAGTCATGACGCTCTCCGCATTGGAGTTGCCCTTCGCCTCGCCGTCCCCATCCTCACCGAACATAGGTGCATCTGCGGAACTGCGATGGCAGACCAATATGGTCGTCATGGTCTGGTATGTCGTAAATCACAGGTTAAAACTGCAAGACATGAAGAAGTCAACGACATCATCAAGAGGAGCCTCGCCACAGCCCGCTGCCCGGCACAAAGAGAACCACACTTATCCAGACCTAACGACCCTCAGAAGCGCCCAGATGGGGGTCACCTTGCTACCTTGGAAGGATGGTAAGCAAGTGGTATGGGACTACACGTGCGCTGCCACACTGGCCAGTACCTACCTCCACTACAGCACACGTGAAAGCGGTGGTGCTGCTTCTTTCAGGGAATCACAGAAAATTATCAAATACAGAGGTCTGGCACACTGCTACAGCTTTGTTCTGATCGGCTCGGAGACCCTCGGTTCGTGGGGGAAATGTGCATTGAAGTTCCTGAAGGAATTGGGGGACAAATTGATCAGCGCTACAAAGATCGGAGAGCAAAAAGTTTCTTGTTCCAGCGCCTCAGTGTTGTGATTCAGAGGGGAAATGCCTGTTGCGTCTTGGGCACTAGTCCAACTTCAGAGCAATTCGAAGAAGTGTTTGACTTGCAACAATGATCGAACCCGTCTGTGACATTCATCAATGTTTCCCATTGTCGTGTTTTTCAAGACATCCATAACCTTTAAGCACCTTTTTGTATTATTATTTTTGTATCAACCCATGTATATCTTGTAACCATCAAATACATAATAAAGCACACAAAAAAGGGAAGGGGGTGGTAGGAGAAAAGCACACAGAAACTGTATTGGAGGGGACCTAAACATTCCCTCTAGTGCGTTATGTGGGGTTTCCTCCGAGGCTATGGGTCCCCCTTCTTCCAGCCAGAGGTGGTACTCTAATATTAAATATATTATATATATTATATATTATATTATATATATATGTCGTACCTAGTAGCCAGAACGTACTTCTCAGCCTACTATGCAAGGCCCGATTTGCCTAATAAGCCAAGTTTTCATGAATTAATGTTTTTCGACTACCTAACCTAACCTAACTTTTTCTGCCTTTTTTTTTTTTTTTTTTTTTTTTTTTTTTTTTTTTTTTTTTTTTTTTTTTTTTTTTTTTTTTTTTTTTTTTTTTTTTTTTTTTTTTTTTTTTTTTTTTTTTTTTTTTTTTTTTTTTTTTTTTTTTTTTTTTTTTTTTTCGAACAAGGTGGTGTAGGAGGCCACACGCTGCCTTATGGACAGTTATGGTGGCAGTGGTGTACTTGTACATCGTGACCCTCACATCCCTTTGTCCTGGTGATGGGCTGCCATATGTAGTACGCGGGGGGGGGGGGGATTTACTAAGTTGCTAGTCGAACAACTGAAGACAGCGAAGCACTGTTCAGATAAAAAAAAGTTCGAACGAATCAGTTTCGAATCGTGTGTCAGGTGGTTCATCAGTAGTGTGAAACAGCGGCTGGGGCTTGGAGCATCAACCCGGCCTCATCAACAAAGGCCAAATGATCGTTAACCCACCCCACTAAACCCGCTGATTATGGCTGAAAAAAAACTATTATTACACACGACTCACAACTGATGACGTCTGAACACTTCCGGAACAAGTGCTTCACTGACGACCGTTGTTCGAACCACAACGCTATAAATGCTTCACCCACGTACTACAAATACAAATAATCGCCAACAGAACCTTAAACACCTAACTAACGCCTAACAAATACACCGAAGTCTAATATATAATAATATTAACTTATATGCCAGAAGAAGCCTATTATTCGCAGTACTTTCATAGTCATAACTGAGTCTTGGGAGGTGGAGGAGGGCTGGGGTTGTAAGGAGCCTGGCCTGAGGACAGGGGTGCTTAACGACCGTCTTGGGGCCATTGAGCAGTGTTGTGAGACGGGGAATGATCACACCAGAAGATTAACTTAGACTGAGAGGTATACCCACAGTGCTCCAGGGGATGCGACAGCGGTGATCAGCAGTGACTCTTCAAGCAGTATAGTCTCCCGGACAGTGAACCCAGGCCCTCAACACCACCCACCACCTGTGTATGTGTGTGTGTGTTTATACTCACCTAGTTGTGCTTGCGGGGTTTGAGCTCTGGCTCTTTGGTCCCGCCTCTCAATTGTCAATCAACAGGTGTACAGATTCCTGAGCCTATTGGGCTCTATCATATCTACACTTGAAACTGTGTATGGAGTCAGCCTCCACCACATCACTTCCTAGTACATTCCACCTGTTAACTACTCTGACACTGAAAAAGTTCCTTCTAACGTCCCTGTGGCTCATGTGGGTACTCAGTTTCCAACTGTGTCCCCTTGTTCGCGTCCCACCAGTGTTGAATAGTTTATCCTTGTTTACCCGGTCGATTCCTCTGAGGATTTTGTAGGTATTGATCATGTCTCTCCTTACTCTTCTGTCTTCCAGTGTCGTGAGGTGCATTTCCCGCAGCCTTTCCTCGTAACTCATGCCTCTTAGTTCTGGGACTAGTCTAGTCGCATACCTTTGAACTTTTTCCAGCTTCTTCTTGTGCTTGACAAGGTACGGGCTCCATGCTGGGGCCGCATACTCCAGGATTGGTCTTACATATGTGGTATACAAGATTCTGAATGATTCCTTACACAAGTTCCTGAACGCTGTTCTGATGTTAGCCAGCCTCGCATATGCCGCAGACGTTATTCTTTTTATGTGGGCTTCAGGAGACAGGTTTGGTGTGATATCAACTCCTAGATCTTTCTCTCTGTCCGTTTCATTAAGTACTTCATCTCCTTTTCTGTGTCTGGCCTCCTGTTTCCATTGCCTAGTTTCATTACTTGGCATTTACTCGGGTTGAACTTCAACAGCCATTTGTTGGACCATTCACTCAGTCTGTCTAGGTCATCTTGTAACCTCCTACTATCGTCCTCAGTTTCAATCCTCCTCATAATTTTTGCATCATCGGCAAACATTGAGAGAAACGATTCTATACCCTCTGGGAGATCATTTACATATATCAGAAACAGTATAGGTCCAAGGACTGACCCCTGCGGTACTCCACTCGTAACGTCTCGCCAATCTGAGACCTCACCCCTCACACAGACTCGTTGTCTCCTGTTACTTAGGTACTCCTGTATCCAACGGAGTACCTTCCCTTTCACTCCAGCCTGCATCTCCAGTTTTTACACTAGCCTCTTGTGTGGCACTGTGTCAAAGGCTTTCTGACAATCCAAAAATATGCAGTCTGCCCACCCTTCTCTTTCTTGCCTTATTTTTGTTGCCTGGTCGTTGAATTCAAGTAACCCTGTGAGGCAGGCCCTGCCATCCCTGAACCCATGTTGATGCTGTGTTACAAAGTTCTTTCGCTCCAGGTGCTCCACTAGCTTTCTTCGCACAATCTTCTCTATCAGCTTGCATGGTATGCAGGTTAGGCCTGTAATTCAGTGCCTCCTGTCTATCCCCTTTGTTGTATATCAGGACTACGTTAGCTGCTTTCCAAATTTCTGGCAGTTCCCCTGTTGCCTGTGATTTGTTATACACTATGGAGAGTGGTAGGCACAGTTCTTCTGCTCCTTCCTTTAGTATCCAAGGGGAGATTCCATCTGGACCTATAGCCTTTGTCACATCCAACTCTAGTAAACACTTCCTTACTTCCCCCGCTGGTAATCTCAAACTCTTCCAGTGGTTCCTGGTTAGCTATTCCCTCTCTTATCTCAGGGATTTATCCTTGCTCTAAGATGAAGACCTCCTGGAAATTTCTTATTCAGCTCCTCACACACTTCCTTGTCGTTTGTAGTGAATCAGTTGTTGTGATGGTGTGAGGGCGTGAGGCCCACACCATGTTAAGGGCACAGTACATGTGGTGAGTGTATTGTGAACTTAGTGACCTACTGTTTGTGCCTAGTACCGTGAGGGGCGGAGGACTGTGCCCAGTACCGTGAGAGGCGGAGGACTGTGCCCAGTACCGTGAGAGGCAGAGGACTGTGCCCAGTACCGTGAGGGGCGGAGGACTGTGCCCAGTACCGTGTGAGGCGGAGGACTGTGCCCAGTACCGTGAGAGGCGGAGAACTGTGCCCAGTACCGTGAGGGGCGGAGGACTGTGTCCAGTACCGTGAGAGGCGGAGAACTGTGCCCAGTACCGTGAGAGGCGGAGAACTGTGCCCAGTACCGTGAGAGGCAGAGAACTGTGCCCAGTACCGTGAGAGGCGGAGAACTGTGCCCAGTACCGTGAGAGGCAGAGAACTGTGCCCAGTACCGTGAGAGGCAGAGGACTGTGCCCAGTACTGCGAGGACACCGTACACAGTGCTCCAGGGGGTGCGACAGCGGTGATCAGCAGTGACTCTTCAAGCAGTATAGTCTCCCGGACAGTGAACCCAGGCCCTCAACACCACCCACCACCACCTGTGAGTATATTGTCTGTGTCCCCCCCCCCCCCCCCCCCCACACACACACACACACACACACACACACACACACACACACACACACACACACACACACACACACACACACACACACACACACACACACACCCACCCACCCACCACACCCCCACCCTGGTAAAAAAAAAAAAAAAAAACCTGGTAACACATCTGGAGAGAAGGGACTTCGTGACAAATCGCCAACATGGATTCAGGGAGGGTAAATCTTGTCTTACAGGCTTGATAGAATTCTACGATCAGGTGACACAGATTAAGCAAGAAAGAGAGGGCTGGGCGGACTGCATTTTCTTGGATTGTGGGAAAGCCTTTGACACAGTACCGCATAAGAGGCTGGTACATAAGCTGGAGAGACAGGCAGGTGTAGCTGGTAAGGTGCTCCAGTGGATAAGGGAGTATCTAAGCAATAGGAAGCAGAGAGTTACGGTGAGGGGTGAGACCTCCGATTGGCGTGAAGTCACCAGTGGAGTCCCACAGGGCTCTGTACTCGGTCCTATCTTGTTTCTGATATATGTAAATAATCTCCCGGAGGGTATCGATTCATTTCTCTCAATGTTTGCGGACGATGCTAAAATTATGAGAAGGATTAAAACAGAAGAGGACTGTTTGAGGCTTCAAGAAGACCTAGACAAGCTGAAGGAATGGTCGAACAAATGGTTGTTAGAGTTTAACCCAACCAAATGTAATGTAATGAAGATAGGTGTAGGGAGCAGGAGGCCAGATACAAGGTATCATCTGGGAGAGGAAATTCTTCAGGAGTCAGAGAAGGAAAAAGACTTGGGGGTTGATATCACGCCAGACCTGTCTCCTGCAGCACATATCAAGCGGATAACATCAGCGGCATATGCCAGGCTGGCCAACATACGAACGGCATTCAGAAACTTGTGTAAAGAATCATTCAGAACTTTGTATACCACATATGTCAGGCCAATCCTGGAGTATGCAGCCCCAGCATGGAGTCCATATCTAGTCAAGGATAAGACTAAACTGGAAAAGGTTCAAAGGTTTGCCACCAGACTAGTACCCGAGCTGAGAGGTATGAGCTACGAGGAGAGACTACGGGAATTAAACCTCACTTCGCTGGAAGACAGAAGAGTTAGGGGGGACATGATCACCACATTCAAGATTCTGAAGGGGATTGATAGGGTAGATAAAGACAGTCTATTTAACACAAGGGGAACACGCACAAGGGGACACAGGTGGAAACTGAGTGCCCAAATGAGCCACAGAGATATTAGAAAGAACTTTTTTAGTGTCAGAGTGGTTGACAAATGGAATGCATTAGGGGGTGATGTGGTGGAGGCTGACTCCATACAGAGTTTCAAGTGTAGATATGACAGAGCCCGATAGGCTCAGGAATCTGTACACCTGTTGATTGACGGTTGAGAGGCGGGACCAAAGAGCCAGAGCTCAACCCCCGCAAACACAACTACGTGAGTACACACACACACACACCACACTACGAGGGGGGCCTCGTAGCCTGGTGGATAGCGCGCAGGACTCGTAATTCTGTGGCGCGGGTTCGATTCCCGCACGAGGCAGAAACAAATGGGCAAAGTTTCTTTCACCCTAAGTGCCCCTGTTACCTAGCAGTAAATAGGTACCTGGGAGTTAGTCAGCTGTCACGGGCTGCTTCCTGGGGGTGTGTGTGTGTGGTGTGGGAAAAAAAAAAAAAAAAAAAAAAAAAAAGTAGTTAGTAAGTTAGTAGTTAGTTAGTAAACAGTTGATTGACAGTTGAGAGGCGGGCCGAAAGAGCAAAGCTCAACCCCCGCAAAAACACAACTAGTAAACACAACTAGTAAACACACACACACACACACACACACACACACACACACCACCCCCCCCGTACCTGTTTTAGTACCTTTGTTGACGAATTGTTTGTGTCCGCGTGTGTATGTGGTGTGTTTGTGTGTGTGTCCGTGAGTGTGTTCGTGTGAGAAAATCACCATTCATGGCTGTAAGGAGTGACTAGTGTGTTTAGTCTCGGTACTGCTCCTGTCTTCTGCTGTCATCACCACACACCTGCCATCACCCCCACACCTGCCATCACCCCCACACCTGCCATCACCACACACCTGCCATCACCACACACCTGCCATCACCCCCACACCTGCCATCACCCCCACACCTGCCATCACCCCCACACCTGCCATCACCACACACCTGCCATCACCCCCACACCTGCCATCACCACACACCTGCCATCACCCCCACACCTGCCATCACCACACACCTGCCATCACCACACACCTGCCATCACCACACACCTGCCATCACCCCCACACCTGTCATCACCACATACCTGCCATCACCCCCACACCTGCCATCACCACACCTGCCATCACCACACACCTGCCATCACCACACCTGCCATCACCACACACCTGCCATCACCCCCACACCTGCCATCACCACACACCTGCCATCACCCCCACACCTGTCATCACCACATACCTGCCATCACCCCCACACCTGCCATCACCACACCTGCCATCACCACACACCTGTCATCACCACATACCTGCCATCACCCCACACCTGCCATCACCACACCTGCCATCACCCCCACACCTGCCATCACCCCCACACCTGCCATCACCCCCACACCTGCCATCACCCCCACACCTGCCATCACCCCCACACCTGCCATCACCCCCACACCTGCCATCACCACACACCTGCCATCACCACACACCTGCCATCACCCCCACACCTGCCATCACCCCCACACCTGCCATCACCCCCACACCTGCCATCACCACACACCTGCCATCACCACACACCTGCCATCACCACACACCTGCCATCACCACACACCTGCCATCACCACACACCTGCCATCACCCCCACACCTGCCATCACCCACACCTGCCATCACCACACACCTGCCATCACCACACACCTGCCATCACCCCCACACCTGCCATCACCACACCTGACTACGGTGCTAGGTGAAGCTGGGTAGTCACTTCTTGGCTTCCGGGTAAGGACAAACGGGGAATTGTTATTGCTTAAAGACGACACCAGTTGTGTCTAGCTCCTGGGCTCCGGGCAGCAACTGCCATGAACATGACACTATGATGGACGGAGTTCGAGGTTTTGTTTCCAATTAAGGAAGTTATTTCTCTCTCTCTTTTTTTCTCTCTCTCTCTTTTTTTTCTCTTTTTTCTCTTTTTTTCTCTTTTTTCTCTTTTTTTTCTCTTTTTTCTCTTTTTTTTCTCTTCTCTTTTTTTTTCTCTTTTTTCTCTTTTTTTCTCTTTTTTCTCTTTTTTTCTCTTTTTTTCTCTCTCTCCCTTTTTTTTTCTCTTTTTTTTCTCTCTCATTTTTTCTCTTTTCTCTCTCTCTCACTCTCTCCCCCCTGAGAGTGCCTAGTGGCTCCCCTGAAATTACTCAGATACCGAAAACTCCTCACCCCTGAAGGTTTCGAACCCAGACAGCCGGGGCTCCATGCACCTTAGCATATCCAGTACCATACCAACAAGACCATACTGACCGAACACGTACTAATGTGACACGATACTAATCTCCCAGCGACCATACCTGCCGCCAGGGGGCCGTGGCGCTCCTCCAGCCTGTGGTCACACTCCTGGTGCTCCTCCAGCCTGTGGTCACACTCCTGGTGCTCCTCCAGCCTGTGGTCACACTCCTGGTGCTCCTCCAGCCTGTGGTCACACTCCTGGCGCTCCTCCAGCCTGTGGTCACACTCCTGGCGCTCCTCCAGCCTGTGGTCACACTCCTGGTGCTCCTCCAGCCTGTGGTCACACTCCTGGCGCTCCTCCAGCCTGTGGTCACACTCCTGGTGCTCCTCCAGCCTGTGGTCACACTCCTGGTGCTCCTCCAGCCTGTGGTCACACTCCTGGTGCTCCTCCAGCCTGTGGTCACACTCCTGGTGCTCCTCCAGCCTGTGGTCACACTCCTGGCGCTCCTCCAGCCTGTGGTCACACTCCTGGCGCTCAAGACTCAAGGGGCTCACACTGAATTTGTAATTAAGTGTTTAACGCTGCCGGGCATCGATACCCAGAGCGTGTGCCCAGTTATGTAAGCAGTAAAGGAATGAGAGGGGCACAACTTAAGGGTTGACGGAAAGTCATTTATTTTTTTAAAATATGTTTATTCGGTAAACTTACTTCTAGTATACAGGAAGCTTTTGTTACGGTAATGAACCGTGTTACATTAGGAAGAGCTTGTATGGAGCACGTGCACAGCGGCAGGTTTCCATGCTGCATGAAACAGCGTGAAACAGACTAGTTTCCACGCCACTAGTAGCGTGAGACACTGACACTCAGATAATCAAGTCACTGAGACAAAAATAGTGTTATTAACACTGGTCACTCAGCCCAAGCTTAGCCGTTGAATAACACACAAGTGAATGAGACGTGAATGAATGAGTGTAATTCCATGAGTCACTAAGACGCCAGTGTTCACGGAAACGACCAAAGTCACTGAGACACAAGACAGCTACCAAATGACACTGCTCACAGAGGCCCTAAATGTGTGGGGTGATTAGGCTATAATCCTCTTACACTTGAACAAGTAACTACGTGTCACCACACAGACTAGAGGGTAGAAAGAGCCTAAGCTACTCTATCCTTTTGAGATGTATTTTATTGTCTCTATAAACGCACTTGAACTTGAGTCACAGACTGACGGTCTTGACAAAGGTGTGCCTCAGTCGTTCTACTCTACCTGTGTGAGGCGTACAAAGACGAATACTTGATCGGACAGTTGATCACTCGGATCAATACGAGGCAACACGAGATCGTAGAGACAATGTACTTATTCAATAGTGGCTGACCTTCTTCCGTTCCATCACATTCATACCCGTTACAGCTGCATGATCTTGCGGAAGCGTGGTGCTACTTGGTCAATGTATGGACGGCTGTCTGTCTTGCCTTCACCTCAAGCACCAGACCATGCGAGGTTACTCGGTGTAGCAAGGTGGTGGCCACTATCATCACTGCAAGCAAGCACGTGCGGGAGACGGTTGGCGGAGCGCTGCATGTGGCCGCTGAACACATGCATAGTACTACACCTGTGTGTGTAGTATGTGTGTTCCTACATAGTTCCTATTGTGTGTGTTCCTACGAGTGATATGTAGGAACTACATATCACTCAAGGCCGACACAACACAGTGCTCGGGAGTCAAACTCCACACGTGAGTCCTGAGACATGGTACTTCAAGGGCCGGTGGTCTTGCACTTTAACACAGAATCATCAGGAAGCCGAGATTCACATCTTCCCCACTTACAAATTGTGGGGATTTGTATAGTTAGTATGTCACTAAGATGACCTTCAATCTTTTCACTGACAGACGATCACACCAGTAATTTACGAGGATTCCACGGCCGGCCGTCGAGGGTGCGGGTGTGCCCTCATTTAGCTCTGCAGTTAATACACAAGTCTCGGAGTCAGTTGTCAGGTGGGTGTTACGAGGCCTGTTTGGTGTCCTCCTGGTGCGGGGTGTAGGTGCTCTAGGATGGGGTCGACAATGCCTCTAATAAAGCGGACGTCTTCGGCTGGCCTGGAGTTTTCTACATCAGTGAACCATACGTCGGTTGGTGTTGCACTCGTGGAGGTGCTCCATGTTAAGATGGCGGGTTTGGTGGGCATTCAGCTCATTCGTGACCTGCGTGTGATGGTCAAGTTTCAGCAGCAATATGTGTTCCAGGGGTTCATCCATCGATGGGAAAGTCAGTCCTTCCCACTGTGTTGAGGAGTGAACACCGTCAAGGTGGTCAACCTGTGTGTGTCAACACCGTACGTGATGGTACGAAGAGCGCCGTTTGAAAAGCTGGATGAGCTGTGTGCCCCGCTGTTTGGGCTCTTTGGAAAAGTGCTCAGCATCAGGTGGAATAAGGTCTATTGGATATAGTACAGTCTAATTCTGAGACACCTGGTACAAGTAACAGGTGTCTAATTCCCAGGTACCTATTTACTGCTAGGTAAATAAGAAAGAAACTGCCCAAATTGTTTTCGCCATCGCCGGGGGATCGATCCCTGGTCCACAGGACTATGTATCCTGAGCACTGTCCACTCGGCCACCAGGCTTCTAATTCTTCGTCTTGTTGCACAGGGAGTGAACCACACCCTCTGTGTGGTTCTTCCCCCTTTGTTGCTTGATTATATGTTGTGTGTGTTGGCTCATTGTAGTTGTATTATAATATGCGCTTATGTTTGGTCTGTGCGTTGGACATCTGCCCTTCCTTGTGGTTCTGTTGGGCGGTGTCTAACGTTGTTATGTGGTACCACATAACCCCTTATTGACCCGTTATGTGGTACCACATAACCCCTTATTGACCCGTTATGTGGTACCACATAACCCCTTAATGACCCGTTATGTGGTACCACATAACCCCTTAATGACCCGTTATGTGGTACCACATAACCCCTTATTGACCCGTTATGTATATGGGGCCTTATGTGTGCATGTGTCCTGTGGTAAGGATTGGAGGTGTCTCCCCCTTCTTGATCTCTCCGAGGGATCTGTGAATGTGTTGTGTACAGATCTGACTTCGGACTGTTGTTAATTCCGGTCTTGTATAAGCCAATTTCATCGTGTTCTCTTTTATTGATATATTTATCTGTGGATTACTGTCTGGTGGTGTAGGATTTCTCTTATAATGACTTACTGTTTTATTATGTTCCTTGTATTTTTAACATTTTGGTGGGTGGTAACGGCCTCCGTTGTTGAGGTTCCTAATGTGTGAATATTATTTCTTTATGTTTTCTGTTGTGTGGTGTTGTGTTGTGTGCTTTCTGTACCCTAGCTCTGTTCCAATTGTGTAGGCTGAGTGTAACATTTGTGCGCGTCAGTGAAAGGGTACAGAAAGGGTACTCGTTCTCTGGGTATGAGTGTTTATGTACTTGAATTGTGTATTGCATTGGCGTCTGTACACAAATGTTGCTCCAGTAACTTTTCTTTTATTTGCATTTAAACACTGTTTTATATAATAAAGAAAAAATAAATAATAATTTACCATCTGGCAGTGACAGGCAGTCCGTTACTTCTGGTGTGATCAGTATCTCTCGCTTCTCTTCCAACCCGTCCTCTTAAAAATAACGTCTTTTTCGGCCGTATGCGACGCTATGGCCAAAAGTGGATGTAATTTGAAATGAAATCGACTCACAAAAGTGACGTACTGTCCTGTTTTCTGTTTGAGTCGTCCGGCTTACTCAGAAAGGTTAGGAGAGGAAACATTCAATTAACGTTTTTCATAACGTTTTGAAACTTTATGAGAATTTCCTGCCCACCTAACCTATCAGAGGACCCTTAAGTCACTGTTGTTGAAAAAAAAAATCCCAAATTTATTTTCATTTTTTTCATTTTCAAATTACGTCCATTTTCGGCCTTACGGACAAACAGCCAAAAGCGACGTTATTTTTAAGAGGACAGGTTGTCTCTTCAGCAGTGTCGCAATAACACAACTTTGAATCAATGGAAATGCCTGTGACATGGTTCTGAAGTGCCACACAGCAGTAAACTTAAATACAGAGTGCAGAGAAACTTAGTGTTTCCAGGAGCACTCACTCGCTCATTTCCGACCGTCGAAGTAATTGGGCACCATTCCTTTCCCCGTCCCATTTCAAATCCTTATCCTGATCCCTTCGCAGTGTTATATAGTCGTAATATATCTCACAATCGACTTGAGAATGGTCCAGGACGGACCGAACGTCGTCGTCCCTTCACCTTCTAGTGTGTGGTCTGGTCAACATAGTCTAATGGCTTGGCACTTTGTCCTGATAATTCCCTTCCCTTCATTTGGCCGAGGTGGCTTGAGAACCCGTCCCACTACGATGGACTTTGACTTCAGAATGACGCTTAATAGACACAACGCTCCTTTGGTAATGTGGGGTCCTGTGTCTAAGCACTATTCGTGCCTAAGTCAATGGCAAACAAGCCAAGATGCTTAATAAACCAATCACAACCTGTCATACAAGTCAGTTAAAGATGAGAAAACCTACTGAGAGAGTTGGAAGGCTTGGGATAACCTCACATTGAAGACATCAAATGACCAGGCACTTACCATACCCTTCAACCACCCTCTCGCTCCGTCCCTCACTACTCTAGAATACCGAATTCTAATGATGACTCGTATAACCTCTCCTGGCACCTTACGAAGTAGGTGTGTAATGGCCATTGTAAACCATTGAACTGCCCGTCCAATAACCTATCCAGAGATACCCCAAAACACGGACCTAAGTCCTGAACTAAAGGACCTAGAAGGGTCCATGACTGCATGTGCACTTTGGAGATTCCTTGTTGGTAACTTTATGACGTGCACTCACGTTGCACTCTAAAAAACAGATGTGAAATTATATTCTACCGTGCCAGTAGGTCCTCTGACGTGGTCCCCTGAGAGTACCAAGTAGCTCCTTGTTCAGCTGGAGCACGAGTTTAGTAGTTTTGATTATTAATATCTTCACGTGGCTTGCTTTGCATAATTTATTTGATCAGTGTGCCAGCGAATAGATGTACCCGGGAGTCAGTGTGTAGTATCAGTGTCCATTGTATCTGTGTTGTGCTTGATCTTGACGACAGTGGAGAACTGTCGCGACAATTACGAGGAATTGGGTGGACTGACGCTGTAGTATAGGGTCTCGGGCAGTGTGAGTGTGCAAGAGGTACACTGTTTCCCCATCTGGAGTCTCCCCTGCCTTCAGTGTTTACAACAGTGATAGGTCTCCCAGGTCTCCCAGGGTGAGTGTAGGTCTCCCAGGGTGAGTGCAAGTCTCCCAGAGTGCGTATGCCCCAGTTGGAGGTTTGCTGCTCAGGGCTGGTGAGGTGGCCTCGGGTTAGCTGGAGGTTAACAACCCCTTTTGAGTCCATGAGTAATGTGCACTTACTCAGGATGCAGTTGACAGCTTGAAATATGGGGACAATGATCAAGTGTCCCCATATTTTGAAAGGGGGGTGAGTTTCGCCCCCATTTGCAGTGTCAACAGGGA